CGGATTCGCAGCTGCAGCTGCTTCATCATCTTCATTGTCTGCCTGCATGCAGAACTAGTTTTGCGAGAGCTACAGGATGCTTTGGAAATGCTGTCATACATTATGCCTCTATCTGAAGCAGAACATCTGTCGACCCCTCGTGAATCTTTGCAACAGGAAAGGCGGATGCGCGAGGCGATTCAAGCAGGTGGACGCGGCCTGTGCTTCAAGTCCCTATACATGATAGTCAGAGTCAACATTCCTACTCGTGCGAGCAGCGCTACACCTTTCAAGCTGGATATGTACTGCATCATTCCTCGGTCTACTGTAGCTGCACACATCCCCGTGATCTGACATCAAACAAGGTGCAGGTGGTCCAGCCGCTCCAGAAGCACACTCACCTTTCGCTCCTCCACCTAGTAAAGCTTTCGCTAAGCTCAGTTCGATGGCTACCCGTACAGTCTACAACGTTTAACAGCATGGCGCTCTACTTGTCGAACCAATTCGGCACGAAGAGGTCTAGGTTACAAAGCTGTGGGACGCAGGTGCAGCAACCAGAAGTTGCAGTGGACTTCTGAATTAGATGCTTTCGTTGCCTCCGATCTTCGCTAGTTGGCATCGATTCGATTCCACTTAGGAAGTCGCTTGTGTTTTACATGTCGTACCCATTTCGGGTTCAACATTTCTGTTCATGTTGGTAGGATCTTCGCACAACTTGGAGGCAAGATGCATAGACTCTGCAGACTAACATCGAGTCGAGGCTGATAATTACGTGCCTGGTGATCTTTTTCAGCTTGCTCTTTGGTCTCTGTTAGGTCCGCCTTGGACTCGCAAGAACACGGGCCCACCCAGCAGAAGCAACGGCTGACAGCATGTTCGAGAGCCCAGCTTGCAGCCGCTTCACCATCTTCGAAGTTATTGCCTCATGACTCATGCATCTTTGTAGGCTGTAGTGCTGAATGACCGGATTGATTGCAGATGTTTGCGCAGCACCGCCTTGCGGTCAGATTGTACGCCTGCAAATAGCTCGGACATAGCACCCGCTGCCTGCTGCTGCTGCTGACCACGGGAGGCGGAAGATCCAGCTAACACGCAGGCGGCCTTTGCAGTCTGCCTTTCCTGAGCATTCACCTGCGGGCATGAGGCCACTGTGCAACTCAGCGCGGTGGTGCACACATGGCCTGCTCAGCAACAGCATGCTCAACAGACTGAAGTGCCGCCCTCCTCATGTACATAAGGATGCAAGCTCTTGTCGTATCTGGAATGGCGGTGGTAGCAATACTTGCGATCAGTACAACAAGCCGTCAACCCCAGACACAAAAGCCAATTTAAAACGTCAAACCCTGTGCTTGCACGGAATCAAGAAAAGGGCAAACTGCCCAAAAACGTCAGCGTCCTCGTTCTGTCCAGTTGCTCTGCTGTCATCGGAGATGCAGAGCTATCAGCAACTTCCTCCGTGCAGCGATGTGTCTCAGTGCGGTGTAGCAACTGACTAGAAACGGGTTTCACGCTCCGCCTGGTCAACAGTGCTCCAAGCTTCTTCAACCGCGTGTGTACATATTGCAAGCACTGGGTTCTGCCGTCATAATTAAGCTTTGGGGCGCTGTCATGTCCAGAAACCTAGCAACGCCGCGAGGGGATGAATGATTGCTTGCTCAACTCTCCAGTTCTGGTGGTCCCATTCGGCATCGCTAGCTCCCTTCTGCCGTGACCGCAGCACAGTCCTGAGCAGCCTTCATGGCCACTTCACGCTGCCCGGCAGCAAGCTGCTCAATCTGCAATGTTTGAAGCTCCTGGCAACGTTGGAGAGTGTTGGAGAACTAGCTTGTGCGAAGCCAGCATCTCTTCCGACGTTGAACTTCCTCGCTCTCTGGAGCCGAGCCAATCTCCAGCAGAGACACGGCCTGGCACTGGCATGGTTCGAACAATACTTGCAAGTTTGTTTCCCAACCTGCTGGCCGACGGCTGCCTCTGCAGGGCCCTTCCTCTGTCACAGGACCCACCGGCAGACCCCAGAAGAGCAACGGCGACTGACCTGCCTTCGCTTGTGAGATGCAGCGCTGCCTCCGGCCTGCACAGCAGCTCATGCTGCTTGCCGCAGAAGCACAGTGGGGCAAATGCGCTTTCCGTCCCGTTCACAGACGGGCGAACAAACTCGATGAGCATGAACTGCCAAAGAAGGCTAAGTTGCTGTGAGACGTGCCAGCCAGATTTGCTTCTGTGTTCAGCCAGGGGAAGTTTCAGCTGACAATAGTGACACGACGCTTCGACACCAGCCTTCTGAGCTTTCGTTTGCTTCGGTTGGGAAGTTCCCTTCCTGTGCAGAGGCATCACTTAAAGCATCAGCTGTGGCCCTGCATGCCGCGGGTAGATATGATTGCGGAAGCCCAGTCTATCAGCGCTACAATGCTACACGACCGGCACTGCTGGCAAGCGGCGCGCCCCGAAGCTGAAGCTCCTGAGCAGGGCCCCCGTCCCTGTGGAACCTCTGTGCCTATCGTGCAATGCACCGCCGAAAGAGCTGAAAAAGCTCACACAGCGCCAAGGCAGCAGTCATCACATTGCCAGCAACTTGTCAAGCCGGCATATGATGGGCCTAGGCCTCTCTGGAGTGCTTCGTGCAGCTTCTTGACTCGGTGACTGTCACAACTGGAACTGGGTGGTTCCCGCTTACTTGAGTTACTTCGCTGGAGCTGCCGATGTGGTTTTTGACTGACTTCTAGGTGGCTTATAAGCCCAACCTATAAGATCCTATGAGTATAACCACACGTTGCGCTTTTCAGCGACCTGAGCGACGGGTTCTTCATTTCACGCTGTTTTCTTGCCGCTCTTGTTTTTTGGCTTTCATTGCACAACAAGACATCCCGCAGCAGACTCGAAGAACCTGACCTTCCATCCTTTCCAACTCTGTCGGCAGACACCGCACGGACACCCGACTAACATGCATCTTACATTACATTGAAGATAAAGCCAGCCCTCATAACTGCACGTTTATCGTGCGGACATGCTCCCTGAGGCCTGTCCGGCCAACATCGAGGGACATCGCTGGCTGTGTTTTCAGTCAAGACCGCAAAGCAACGATGCAAGCGGCTATGAGCTGCACGACCCAAGCTAGCCAAGCAAAGTGCAAGAAAACTATACCGACACTTGTTCTGAGATCAAAAACCACGAACACTGACAAATTACAGCCTGTGCGCGTGATTGTATAAACTTCAACAGATGCCAATTCTATCATGAGTCCAACCTAAGTAACCTAAGTCCAACGTATGTTCGACCAAAGTTCGACACACCAATCAAGTAATCAAGAAGGTTGTATAATGTCCAACGGAAGCATTACAACGCCCGGCTCCACAGATAGTTCCTGTAGCCCACATCGACCTGATTGGTAATCCGACTACCACCCGCTCGCAAGGAAACGACTAATCTAACAAGCCAAGGAATCCTCCTCAAGCTTCCTGAGTGACTCGATGTCCTCCCTCAGCCTGTGCTCAGTCTCCTGCAGCATCGATCTAACCACGGTGCCAAACAGAAACCTTGGCCCTGTCAACACATGCTACACCTGCGTACGACATTTATCATATCGCACAAGTCTTGCTTGAAGCCGGTTCCGAGGCCTCGAAAGCTTGCGCCGAAGAGTCCTCTGTCCAGACTGGGCCGCCGGTCGCACTTTGGCTCACCTCAGCTGCCGAGCAAGGCTGTTGCCGTCGACACTCCAGCCAAGGACAGTCTTACAGCAAGGGTAAGTTAGGCCACCTCCTGGATCTCGATGGTAGCATCTTGCCCGTGCCGAGAACCTTGGAAACGAAGCCGAAAATCACACGCAGAGTTTACACCATCTGCCGCAAGTCTAGGCGTAGCACCTGTCTTCGCTTTTGCAGTGCTGGCCAGGGGCTTGGCGTCCTGAACATGAATGCGCAATCGAACATCATTGACTCAGAATTTGGAGAGAAACTAGTCAGAATTGCATGATACGAAGGTTGGGTCTCAGCATGTTGTTCCAGCACGATAAGAGATGCATGTCATCGTCTTGGCAAGGGAAGGGCTGAAGCTAGCCGCCTCTACATTATGCAGCGATTGATCCACCGGTCCTGTCGGCTCTTGACCTTCTCATCGCCCTCTGGCCAATCGAGGTCCAGGTCCTCCTCTGCAGAAAGCCAAGCAGTCAGAAGCTCAGAGGACGCCACCGACGCATCACTCGCCGCTCGCCTCGTCGCCGAGGGAAAGGTCCTCGCCCTCGACGGAGCTGCCCTGGTATGCGTTCTCGGAACCTGGAAGGGTGGCCACGGTGCGCGAGTTGCACTTCACTTTCTTTCACAAGGAAGCTTGTCGAAGCACAAGTCGAACGGGCTTTGTAAGACACAACGGCCCAGCTTGTAAGCTTCGGATATCCGGATGTATCCAGAACGTATTCAACCAGTGCATCCGTGCTGCCCTGGTTCGTCGCAACGTCTGTTGCTTTTCTTCTGCCTTGTGGAGTCTTGCCCAAAGTGTTGTTCTCCACGGCAGACGCAGCCTCGACCAGCCAAGGCAATCATAAACATGCAGCTCCACGTACGGGTTTCTTCATGCTGTGATTCCTCATGTGCACTGGGCATAGAGATAGCAGCGTATAGTATGCTGACATGCTGATGATAGCTCATCTGAGTCAGGCCAGGAGCAGTTGGCGCCCGCTCTCCAATGGAGAGTCGCGAGTTGCCTCACGCAGCAGCCCGTATTCGCGTTTGGATCTCTATCTTGGGGAACACCGTATGGTATTGTCCTGGTATCTTGAGGTCGATGCCTCGCAGCCCCGATGCCCCAAGGCGACTTATTTAAATTTCTGCCGAAACTTGCCGAAGCACTTGGCAAGATTCCGTCGTCCAGCGCGGGCTCGGCAGCTTGGCTGGCCTGTCAAGGTGTTCTTCTGCCGGGAGCCTTCCAATGAGCCCTCATTGCAACCTGCCGGAGCAAACCTGTTGTGAAGGGGCTACGGCGAGTGAACCCAAGAGGGCCAAGGGTCGCAGGCTGTAGACGGCCGTAAAAGACTGTGCCCCAAGAAGGAGGGTTGGTTGGGATCTCTGCTTCCCCGGCCTTCACCTTGAAAATTCCTTCGCTTGGCGACCGGGCAGGTGCTTCCTGGAGATGCGCATCCGGGGCGATGCTTTGCTTGCGCATGACAAGAGCCCCTCATGCTTGCCTCTTTGCGTCGACATGGTAGATTGCTACGTGGACTTCTGTTGGTTGTACAGCTGCCTTGCTCACTGCAACAGCTTGGCACAGGCCATGCCTCGGCTTTGGAGTGAGAAGCATTTCCTCCGGTGTCCACATCTCGGACATCAGCATCCTCCAGGACAACAAGCCATGCAATTTCAGAACACACAAAAACAAAGAGGAGTGCCACGTCGACAGCTCCTCATCGCTTCCATCAGCCTCTGCGCGCTTGCCCCCATCCGCCTTGCATCGCAAGCGCAGACACATGCCAATGCCGTGTCTGGCGCAGGTGCAAAGAAGCCTCGGAGGCCCAGGATCTGTCAGCGCTTGAACTCGGAGTCTTGGATGACTTTGACTGGCAATGTGCTGGCAGACTGGTTGAAGAGGCGCAAACGAGTGACGATCTATGCCCACCAGCCGTTGACATTCTGTGAGGTAGAGTGCCGGAGTGTGCCGGCCTTCTTTGAGGGTGAGGCTTCCGAGGATGCATTGTTCGCCGTCCTGCGCAGCTGGGCTCTCAAGCAGATGACGATCGCTTCGCAAAGCGAGGTTGTTACAAAAATGTTCGGCCTCGTCGCCTTCCCTGTCTTGCGGCTGGGCACGGCGTCGTTGTCCTTCAAACTCTAAAAGATTTGCCTTGACAACCTTCCATGTCATGTGGGTTGCTGCTGTATCTGGCTGTGCTCCTCCTCCTCTTCCTCCCCGCTTCCTGCGGAGCTTTCCTCGTCTGAATCGGACATTTGAGAAGGCCGTCCTCCAGCAGCCGTTTGCACTGAATTCAGAATACTGCGTTCTCACGGATGCAGGCAAGCCTGTGTCAACACCTGTATCCTCATCTTGGGTTTCCTGCAACGGACCCATCATGTTGAGTTATCTTACAGCTTCCGTGTGGTTAAATAATGTTAAGCACCAAGAGCACTGCAAATTCAGGTTGTGACAACTGATAGATTCTGATAGACCAACATAGACCAACCACAACTTTACTGTAGTGGACAGCTAGCTGCAGCATGCTGAAAGGGGTATGAGGGAGAAAGAGCGTGTTTGTGCACATGCCGCTACCTGCAGCTTGACTTTGGTCGGGCTGGGCGACTGGAGAAGGAATACAACTTGCATGCAGATACCACGTGCCACGACCAAGAGAACTTGCTGTCGACAGCTCCTCATCGCTTCCATCAGCCTCTGCGCGCTTGCCCCCATCCGCCTTGCATCGCAAGCGCGGACACATGCCAATGCCGTGTCTGGCGCAGGTGCAAAGTAAGAAGCCTCGGAGGCCCAGGATCTGTCAGCGCTTGAACTCGGAGTCTTGGATGACTTTGACTGGCAATGTGCTGGCAGACTGGTTGAAGAGGCGCAAACGAGTGACGATCTATGCCCACCAGCCGTTGACAATCTGTGAGGTAGAGTGCCGGAGTGTGCCGGCCTTCTTTGAGGGTGAGGCTTCCGAGGATGCATTGTTCGCCGTCCTGCGCAGCTGGGCTCTCAAGCAGATGACGATCGCTTCGCAAAGCGAGGTTGTTACAATAATGTTCGGCCTCGTCGCCTTCCCTGTCTTGCGGCTGGGCACGGCGTCGTTGTCCTTCAAACTCTGAAAGATTTGCCTTGACAACCTTCCATGTCATGTGGGTTGCTGCTGTATCTGGCTGTGCTCCTCCTCCTCTTCCTCCCCGCTTCCTGCGGAGCTTTCTGCCGAATTGTCAGACCCATCGCCATCGCCCTCCGTCTCTTTGGACTGGCTTTCCACCGGCAATCCTCAGACTGCTGGGTTGAATATTCCAATGGTTCGTGCGACCGGTACAAGTACTGGATCCGACAAGGGTCCATCATCGCCAATGTCCTGGCAGCGATAACCTCAAATCTTGTAAGCACTGCCACATGCTAGGCTATTGTGGCTTGTCTCGCGATATCGACAGCAAGTCTTTCCAAAGCCCAGGCTGACAGTTTCTTATCAAATGTGGCCCTGAGCAGGGAAATGCCGCAGTCCTCTTCTGGCGGATCCTTTTCATCGTTGTCCTCATTCTGCTCCTCGAGTTCGGATGCACTGCGTGCCCAGCCAGGCCAACGTCTGGAGAAGCCGCAAAAAAGCGTTCGGAAAGGCCTTGGCCGCCTTGCCGGCTTTCTGCCGCATTGAGTTTTCAGCCTGCCCATGAAGCACTCACAAAGGGCTAATGCCCAACTATGCCCCAAAATTCCCAGGTCCTGGCCTTGGCAGGTTTCCATTGGCGTTTCTTCGCGCTAATCGCAGTGCTAATCGCGCTCCGGGCTCCCATCTCGATGTCCCGCTCCTGGACTAGCCAGCGACGATCACCAGGGGTGGCAATCACTCGGGTTGAAAGCATCTGCAAGTTATTCAGCTTTTGCTGCTTCGGGCTTGACCGATGTCCCTGGGCAGGCAGGACAGAGTGCGCGCGAATGATGACATTGACATGAACACGATGGCCCGCGCCAGAAGAGTCCCGAACGCGCATGGTTGTTGTAAGAATGTTGTATCTGCAAGCGAGAATACGGCGCTGGGCAAGAAAAGGAAGTAGTCACGTGTCTTGGTTCACGAGGTAGGAATGTTGAGCCTTTGCAAGCCTCAACGACCAAGCAGACCGCACAAATATGTGCTACACGGAGAATCACGATGGGTAGCCTCTGGAATCATCCTAACTCTTCTGCTGGTGGATGCGACATGACCCAACTGGGAAATGATTACCACTTGTGACTTGTTGGATTTGTTCGTAGCGTATTCCGCACAGGGCAGCCCTGCCTCTGGAATCTCCACGAGACCTTGCGCAGTGTATCAAACACAGTAGCACAGCTGCATTACATTCGCGGCCTGTTGCTACTTGCCGATCGTCACGGTCGCAGTCATACCCCGCAACAGCACCATTGCACTACTGCTTGCCTTCACCACGGCGTTTGCAGTCAAGCACTCGATGATCACTCCAGTATGCACCGTAGGTGGCCTGCACGCAAGAGACACGCGATGCAGTTGCAGGAGTTGTTTGTCTTTCCACCTACCCAAAACGAAACATGCCCTGCCTGGACGGCATGCAATGCCCGGTAGAAGTCTTGACCTAGCAATCTGCCACAAGGCCAGCTCCAAGCTGGAGGGCTCCCAGTGATTAGACGACGCTAGTGACATGAAGACTTGCATTGTCAGCATCATCAGTGCAACTTCAACACTAGAACTCAGACTGGTAATGGGGCAGCATCACACAAGACCATGGAAGGGCTCCTCGACTTGTGTAGACATTTCTTCAAGCAGATGCACATCCAGACACATGTAGATATGCATTGCATCTGCATATGATTGCCTATGTTTCTGCAGGATCAAGCGACTGTGACAGCTTGTGGAAGCTTACATTCTAGACTCTGTATTACCTCATACAATCGTTCTGCACTTATCACAAGTTGATACAGTACAGCCGTCTTTCAGCACATAGTCTGTGTAAAGTAGATGACACACGCGCGCAATTTTCTGCTGTCTACAACATGGCGGGACATAACCTGGAGCACCACAAGTCAGTAAACAAGAAAAACTCTGCACAATCGTCAACACAAATACATGTATATGAGTACATACGTATGTGCGTGCGTACAGTAACATGCTGCGTATACATATACATACACATACATACGTACATGCATACAGGCATATGCGTACATACGTACATACATAGCCTGATGTAATAAAGTCTTTGGGCCCAAAAGCCATAAAATATGAAACCTTTGAAGGTAAGGGTAATTGAATACCGACTATTGGGGACCATATACCCTTCTTTGAGGGTGCAAGGAAGGGTTCTGGTGTGCAATTCTTGGGAACATGCTTTCGAGTTAAACTTCGGGTTTGCTTTTGCAGCCACGTCACAAACCCCCGAAGGGGTCCAGCCTTGCCACATGTCCTTGAGGTGATATTGCACAACATTGCAAATCATTCCAGGTCACCACGGAGCCGTCGCCACGAATGGCAGCAAGCGCGCCGTAGCAGGCTTGGACCTGCTGCACAGTTTTCAGCCTAGACGTCACATCTTTAGAGTCATCACGAGCACGGCCCGAGAAGACGATAGAGCTATCACCAAAAAATGACAGCAAGCTCGCACGTACAGGCGCCGTTTCGGGACGGTATAGACGCGTGGATCTGCTGCAGTCCTTCCGATCCTGCATGTCACTACTGTCACCACCAATGTCAGCATCACCCCAAATCACGACGGAGCCATCGTCAAGAATGGCAACAAAATTATCAAAGAGGCTCGGATCTGCTGCACGTTGCTCAACCGAGCCTGCACTGCGCTACAGTCACCACCAGACACAGCATCACCCCAGGTCGCGACAGATCCATTTCCAAGAATGGCAGCAAAGCAGCTTGAGAGGCCTGGATCTGCTTCACGTCCTTCAGCTGATGCTGCACGCCACTACTGTCACCACCATAAAGAGCATGACCCCAGGCCGCCACGGAGGCCGCACAAAGAATGGCAGCAAACGCTGTCGGCGGCCTGGATTTGCTGCACATTCTTCAGTTTGCCCTGCAAAGCACTGCTGTCACCGCTGGGCGATCCATGACCCCAGGTCACGACGGAGCCACCCTTAAGAATGGAAGCAAAAGCCGCGTCAGAAGCTTGGATCTGCTGCACATTCTTCAACTTTTCCCCCACGGAAAACTGTCCTGAACAATTTACTGATCTCCCCAGCTCACCACAGAGCCATCGCCAAGAATGGCAGCAAAGGCGCTGTAACAGGCCTGGATATGATGCAGGTTCCTCAGTCTATCCTGCACGTCACTACTGTCACCACCAGACTCAGCACTCCCCCACCAGGTCACGACAGATACATCGATGAGAATGGCAGCAAAGGCATCTTTAGAAACTTGGATCTCCTGCGCGTCACTACTGTCACCACCAGACTCACCATTCCCCCAGGTCACCACAGATCCATTGCCGAGAATGGCGGCGAAAGCGTATCTCGAGGCTTGGATTTGCTGCACATTCTTCAGCCTATCCTGCATGTCACTAAAGTCAACAACAAGCACAAATTCCTCCTCGAATGGGTCGTAGAAACCAACATCGCCAAAGGTCACGACAGAGCCACCTCCGAGAATGGTAGCAAAAACACGACCACAGGCTTGAACTTGAACTCGGCTTATGTGCAAGGACAACGATGCGCCATTCTGCAATCTGGTTTGTTGATTGAATCTAGAAGATGCCCTCTTCCAACTCCGACAGTGCTCGCAACTTCACTGTTTCAACCTGTTCATCCCTGTCGGCTCTGACAGAAGCTGTTTTGCCACAGAGCAACCAATAACCCACATTTACATTATTTAAACTATTTGAAATATTTCTTTTCAAAGATAATTTAGATAAGCCATATATAAATTATCTAAATTGCTTGAAACATTTCTTTGGAAAGCAGTTTAGATCATTTAAGTATTTTACATTATTTAAATTGTTCAAGTTATCTAAATTATTTAAATAGTTCTGGAAAGGTTTTTCTAGGATAGCTAACTCACTGTTTGACTTATTTAAATTGTTTAGACAGTTTTCCAAAGGAAATACTTTAAATAATTCAAATAATGTAAATACAGCTGTTACATCTGGCTAGAGGGTTTCCGCCCCAACTTCAATAATCTAAATACTTTAAACACTTTAAATAACTCATATTTACATTTATTGAAATATTTCCTTCAACAAGCATTTAAAATAATTCAAAATCCATATTTAAACTATTTAGATTATTTAAAATATGCCTTTCAATGGTAATTTACAAAAGTAAAATAAGCCGTATTTAAATTATTTAAAACATTTCTTTTGGAAAATACATTACATTTTCTAAATATTTTAGATGATCTAAATTATCAAAAATATTTACATTATCTATAATGTAAATAGTCCTGGAAAGGCTTTTCTAGGACAGCTATCACTATTTACATTATTCAGACTATTTACATTACTTTCCAAAGGAAATAATTTAGATAATATAAACACAGCTGTTACATCTGGCCAGAGGGTTTCCGCCCCTATTTAACAGTTCAAATATTTTAAATAATTCAAATAACCCATATATAAATTATCTAAAATGTTTCCTTTCAACAACAACTTACATAGTCTAAATAACTTAAACAAGCCATATTTCAATTATTTAAATTATTTGAAATATTTCTTTGGGAAAATAGTTTAAATAATTTACACATATAAAATTGTTTAAACTGTTCAAAAAATTATTTATGCATAGAATTAAATGAATGCGTCAAATAGACCCTAAAGGAGCAACTCTCTCTCTCTCTCTCTTTTATATATATATATATGTATGTATAGACAGTTGTGCGTGCGCTGTGCGTTCTGGGAACCGCACGTGTGGCGGGGATCTCGTTCCACAAAGGGGCGGAAAAAAAAGGGGGACGAAACTCCGAAGCTCAAGGCCTAAGCCACTCCACAAGGGGTGAGGGCGGAGATGGTCACATGCAGAACCAGCCCTGAGCCATTGCGCAGGAAGCTCAAAGCCCAGAAGAAGCAAAAGCAAGGCGCAGAACCCCCCACCCCCCCCCCCCCCCCNNCCCCCCCCCCCCCCCCCCCGCGTGCATAAACAGGGTCCATCACCAGATTGAAAGGGAGAGCGACATTGGGCCGATACTGAAGGGCGATGAGGCTGAGATCGGGAACCCACGTAACTGCTCCGCTGCGAACAGGAGGTTGGGATCGAGGAAGGCAGCTTGCCAGAAAGGTGGCAGGAACCGGAACAGGGGAGACCATCCAATTCTTGTTCCCGCCCCATAAAGCCATTGGGAGAAGTTGAGACACCCACTTCGGCCACCGCTTCACACCTTAATGCTGGTACGGCGGTACGCACACCGCGTTCTCGAATCCGAGCCTGTTCCACAGGGTATGACCAAATGGAGGGATACCATTGGGGGAGGGGGGGTAGGGGCGGGCGCCCGCCGGGGCGCAACCGTTTCTGCATGAACAGCACACTGCAAGCACGAACGTTCGC